TCTCCCTCTCCCTCTCCCTCTCCCCTCTCCCTCACCCTCACCCTCTCTCTCCCTCTCTCTCCCTCTCTCTAAGATTTATTTATTTGAAAGGCAGAGTTGACAGAGAGGGAGAGAGAGACATCTTCCTTCAACTGCTTGCTCCCCAAGTGGTCTCCACAGCCAGGGCTGGGCAGAGCCTGGAGCCCCATCCAGGTCTCCCACTTAGGTGCAGAGGCCCAAGCACTTGGGTCAGCTTCCACTTCGTTTTCCTAAGCCTTGAGCAGGGAGCTGCTGGGAAGTGGAGCAGCCGGGACTGGAACCGGCGCTCACGTGAGATTCTGCTGTTGCAGGCGGCGGCGGTGGTGGCTGAACCTACTACCTAACCCACTACGCCCCAGTGCTGGGCCCGTTTCTGTCCCTGTGACTCTGGCCTCTCTGGGGACCTCGTGTCAGGGGGAGTCACACAGGATTTTGTCTTTCTGTGACGCTTCCTTCGCATCACGTCCTCAAGTTCACGCACAGTGCAGGGCTGTGCACCTGCCGCGTTCTGCTTGTGCCTTCTCTGCCCCTCTGAGCTGTCGAGGGTCTGCTGCTGTGAACTCAGAGTAGATTTCAGAGCAGATACCTCTTCTGGGCCCCGTCTCGTGCTGCGGGCTCTGTACCCAGAGGCGGAAGCGCTGGGTCGGCCGCGCAGCCCGTTTTTAGTTTTGCGAGGTACCGACAAACTCTTTCATGGTTACCAAGCCAGCGTGCGTTTCACCAACAGGTGCACAAGGATTCTTAGCCTTGTCACCAACACTTGCCATGTTCTGGCTTGTTAAAAGCCACTCTAGGGGCTGACGCTGTAGCGTAGTGGGTAGAGCCATCACCTGCAGTGCTGGCATCCCATATGGGTGCCGGTTCGAGTCCCGGCTGCTCCACTTCTGATCCAGCTCTCTGCTGTGGCCTGGGAAAACAATAGAAGAGGGCCCAAGTCCTTGGGCTCCTGCACCCGCGTGGGAGACCAGGAGGAAGCTTCTGGCTCCTGGCTTTGGATCAGCTCAGCTCCAGCCATTGCAGCCAATTGGGGAGTGAACCACTGGATGGAAGACCTCTCTCTCTCTCTAACTCTGACTTTCAAATAAATACATCTTTTTTTTAAAGCCACTGGAGTGGATGTGAGGCCAAAGGCGCAGGTGGGCAGGTCGGCTTTGTTGGGGCGCAGTAAAGAAACAGCAGTCTAATGGTGGAGTCTGGTGCTTCACAATGTGGCGGCATCCCCTTGGTGGGGATACTGGAGCAGAAAGAGACGGCTGTCTACTTGGGGGTGTTATACCGCGGATCTGTAGCCGACCTGGGTAAGAGGTGGCAAACACCCGGGAAGCCTGCCAGCACCGCCCCTCCTTACCCAGCAGGCGGCACCGAGTGAGGGAGGCAGCCTGCCGCTGTCTGTCCCAGCCAGCTGTGCCGTGGGCTCCCTGCCGCCCTGTGAAACAGTCCCCCTCCTCCGGCGCAGGCAAGGCCTACGAGATCACCTACGTGCGGCTCAAGTTCCACACCAGCCGGCCTGAGAGCTTCGCCATCTACAAGCGCAGCCGCGCCGGCGCCCCCTGGGAGCCCTACCAGTACTACAGCGCCTCGTGCCTCAGGACCTACGGCCAGCCCGAGGGCCACTACCTGCGCCCCGGCCAGGACGAGCGCGTGGCCTTCTGCACCTCCGAGTTCAGCGACATCTCCCCGCTGAGTGGCGGCAACGTGGCCTTCTCCACCCTGGAGGGCCGGCCCAGTGCCTACAACTTCGAGGATAGCCTGGCTCTGCAGGTGGACGGGGCAGGGCTGGGGGTGGGCGGGGCAGAGCTGGGGAGGGCACTGGGCAGCAGGTGGGCGGGGCAGAGCTGGGGAGAGCACTGGGCAGCAGGTGGGCGGGGCAGAGCTGGGGAGGGCACTGGGCAGCAGGTGGGCGGGGCAGAGCTGGGGAGAGCACTGGGCAGCAGGTGGGCGGGGCAGAGCTGGGGAGGGCACTGGGCAGCAGGTGGGCGGGGCAGAGCTGGGG